AACGAGGCTATGCATTCAACGAGCTGAATGAATATTGATTGAACTGTGCATTTTGATCATCCACTTTCGCTTATCGTGCTTACTTTATTCCTGCTGAAGGTCGGGGAAAGGCCAACAATGCAAATTCTTGCAGCTGGAAAAAGATGGATGGCGGTGCTGTCGAGGCAACAGTCTAGGATCAGCCATGGGAGAGATTGAACGTTAACGAATTTCAGTCCACGGATGTCTCATTACTATCGATCAGCTCCTTAAAACTGTGGTGCACCGGTGCACCATGAGGGCAGTTAATAAACAAAACAAATGAATAAAGGGGGTCGTATTTTGATCTTCCACATGTAGCAATAACATAGCAGCGATCATAGCGGTCACCTGCAAAGCTGCAGTTAGAGGCTATCCTTACTGCCTATATAATCCACAAGTTTGGTGTGTCTGTATGCATGTTTTATATGTATGTTTGTATGTTCAACGGGAAATTCGATATCTCCTGAGAAACACCTTTAGAGGTCGGGATTCATTTTGAAGGTTGATGTGAAGCGAGGTGACGTTAAATGCTTGAACCGAGGCGCAAGTTCCGCAGTTGTTCAAGGAATTGGTTCGTGTTGGGCAGGTGTGAGGGGACCTTGGTCAACAATTGGCTCACAATGCAGTTTAAGAAATTCTATAGGTTGGTCCACCTTCGCAACTGATAATAGCTCCCATTTTGAAAGTGTCCGCGGACGTTGACAGGAACTCGTCAGGTGCAAGTTTGTGGGTCTTCACCAAGCTGTAAAAAACAGGACAACTTGGAGAGTCGAGCCTGAGTCTACAAAGGAACTTCTCATCAAGACCTGCAGATTTGCCTTCTGTCATCCAGATATGGTTGAGACGCTTGCATTGTGATGAGAATTCCTTAGCTGTTGCAAGACGGTATGTGGTTTTATCCCGCAGGTGAATTTCTGTTATGGCACGACCTGTGGACTGTGACATAACGACCAGCTCTCCTCCCTTATCGCTCGCAGAGATTCTTATTGTGCCGTTTGATCTTAGCTCGCATATTTTTCTAAACCTTTGCCGTTGCTGGAATGTCAAATTGTTGTTCTGATGCCGTCTGCGTTGCTTTGACACATATTGATGCTGATGCTGCTACGTTCCGGAAAACTGTGAGGAGCTTATATAAATTGTGAGATCTACTGCGTTGCAACGACCGCAATGAACGGAACCTTCACCCTATTGTGAATCAGAGATCTCTTCCAACTGTACCGTTTTCGCGTATGTTTTATAAAGAACCTGACCCTGTGCCAAATGTTGATGTCAAAGTGCGGATACTATCAGCTGGTGTGCTTTACGTGTTAAACCAACATAGGCAACAGCAACACTTGGTTTTTTTTGAGGTTTTCAACATCCGAAATTGACTCTCGGTCTACGGGAACAGCTTGACGAGATTTAACTCCAAGGTTTTGCAAGAGGGTAAAGCCAATCTGGCGCTACTCTCTTCGCTATCTCTCTTCTCTTCTAGAGCTTTCCTCGAAGCCTAACATATATGCGGCTCATTCCTTAGAGCCAACGAGCTTGAACGGAATGCGGAGGACAGCTATGAAAGCTGAGTAATGCTTCCAGGTTGAAACAACTGGATCTTGGTGGTTTCTCAAAACACATTTTTAGCTACGAGGAATAGTTGTTTAGCAACGGTATTTCTTCAGTAGTAAAAGGCTACTTTTCCAGACCGATTGTTCGAGCTACTTATGTGGTAGAGTCGAAATATCTCCATGGCAATCGAGTTTAAAAGCTTACAATAAAATGAGGTGCTTTTGGAAAGGTTTGAATGGACGAGATTTCAGTTGTAGCTATTAGCTACTAGCATATAACAGCTGACCAGATTTACCGTGAACGTGTATCTTTGATGCTCTTGCTATTTGCTATCCGAATCGAATAATATCAACCAGAAAACCGATAAACTCGTCCTTTCGTAGGAGTATTGAGCGGAAATGGGCATCGGAGCGGACACCGGTCCTTTCTTTTTGACTCGACAAAGCCCTATATAGCCTTCTTGAGGGCCAAGAAATTCTGCCTCCAGTACCGCAACACCTGTGATACTACCACAAACTTCTGTTGTTAGCTTTTACGAAGGGATAAATAGCCGTGCAATCTAGACAAAACTCCATTGCCAACAAAGAGGGGTAAACGATCCACTAAAACTACGGCGATGGATGTGATCCGTTAGTAAGAAGAGGCGGGTTGCTTAAATGCTATTACCATAAAGTCGGACATTTGTCATTTTTACCTACTGGTTGGTAGGATTCTGTGTAATATGGTCCAAAAGCCGCCGCTTTTCTGACTTCTTAGAATCACTCTTCTATTTTAATTCATCTCGATTTTTTGAAAGGGCCAGTTATCCAAAGAAAAATTCAGGAAATTCTTGAACTCAAAGTTCAGGGAGATGAATCGAGCTCTGTTTTCATCATTCACAGCGGCCCTTATACTTTCGCAGGTAACATCATTTGAAGCACCTTTTTAACGTTCAGATTAGAATAGTTGACTTTTTTCAACCAAATCCTCAACCCAAATGTTCATTTTTGGTGCAGAGTAAAGAGGCTCCAACTAGTTCATCAAGCGTAAACCAGGTTACAGTAGTGCAAACTTGTTAGATGATCTCGAGCCAATTGGTCTCCAATGTTCTGACATTTTGCTAACTACTGGGTAAGCAACCGGCAAACGACCTATTTTTCCAAGTGTTGCTTATTGTTGTTTTTTTGAATTGGATACATGAAACACCGTAACAACGAGAGTAAGATGCAAGGTGAGGCGATAACATGTGAAAAAAGACGTAGAAAAAAGTAATTTCTTACTTACTCGTGCGGCTCCTAATCATTCAAGTGCAAGCACCAGCAACAAACCATTCGATTGTGTCTTTTGTGACTGTCGTCCACGACAGAACTAGAATCCGACGAAGGTAACGATGGGGAGGAATCGTTCTGCTGCGTCCGCAGCTGTTTTACGTCACCTACGAACACATTCCACCATTTAGCAGGCCTACCCTTAGATCGGGAACATCCAACGGGAGCCCACTCGGCTGTTGTTCTTCTTGTCCATCTGTCATCACTTCTTCTCATGATGTGACCCCCACCGCAGTTTGGCGTTTTTCATGTATTCCACCGAAATCCAAATCTCCAAGCTGTAACAGAGCGCAGGAAGAGTTCTGGAATAGAACAGATTAGCACGAGCTTCCGGATCAGCCAGATGGTTAATAGTTAGTTAGTAATAGCCAGCTCCAGCTATTACCCTAAGGAAGAACCTTTGAGTCAGCAGAAAACAGTGTGGGCATCCCTCGTGCCTCTATAATAGGTGGAACTAACTTTGGCCTCCGACGTAACTCGAACCCTTACCTGGGCTTTCCTTGCTCCATGCACTTCATTCCCTACACTTCCGAGAATTCACCTTGGCTTCTTGATGGTTTTTAAGTCATAGCTTATGACATAATGTTGATAAATCGAAGCAAGTTATTTGTTTACTTGTTTACATTCGGACCCATACTACAGGCACCTACTGTGGAAGCATGTGTGTATACAAACTATGCAGCTGATTCGGCTTATGTAGAAAGAATGGGGGACTTCTTTACAACGGAAACGATTGATGGTTGTATGTGGCACTGCTACCATACTGAAGGCTGTGTTATGATGCGATATCGAGAACTAAACGTAAGTTCACTTTGAAGAGGATTTTGAACACTGTTCTCTTCTAGACCTCCTCGTCTAATCGATCCTCATTAAACTCGCCTTGGTAAGTTTCACTTGGAAGTTTTTTTATTTACACGATTTCTTACGGTTTCAAATCACCGATAGGTCATCAGATCCCCTGTTTACGGCCCAGGGATTCAGCCCCTTTTGCTACCTCGTACAGAAGGCCTTCCTTGAGGTTTTTCTGCTCTGAAACGCCTCAGAAACTCATCCTCTGCTTTTTTTCATATAAGTATCCCAGACCTTATACCTCTCATATGTCAAAANAATATAATTTTTTGAAGTTTATGGTAAGAGCGTGGCATCGGCGTACGCGTCGATATCCCGCAGGTCAAAGGTTAATGTTAGGTTTTTTGGAAACTCCTGGCCAGCGCGTGAAGTAGCCGCTGCGTCCGTTGATTCTATTTATTATTTTATTTGTTTGTTATTATTTTGCTCTGATTTGTTAGTTTCAGAAAATGTGCCTGCTTTTTCAAAAAAGCGACACACCGAAACTGTTCACTAGTCGAGCAAGTCAAACGAAGATCTTGGAAATTTTCAAGCTTGATCGTCAGCCGTCAAAGATGATCAAGCCGTCGTGCCAACTGAAAAGATTGAGTGCTAACTAGTAAAGAACGAATCCATGCATTCAACAAGCTGAATGAAGTATTGATTGAACTGTGTATTTCGATTATCCAGCTTCGGCTGTATTGTCGCGGCAGCAGTGCAGAGTCAGCAGTGGGCGGGACTGAACATGGGCGGGATTTGCGAGATGCCGCTTTACGATCGATAAGCGCTACTACACTGAACGAAAAGAATAAAAGTTCTACGCTCTACTAGTATTTTGTATGCTTTAATTAATGATATGTGCCGATGAGCTCAGCATAGATGCATAGCTGCTCCAGTGCTCTGCAAGCTCGGGTGTGGTGCAGTAGGAACGAAATTATCGCGTCGCGGCGAGAGGCGTCACGCGCGACGAATATAGCAAAATGCAGCAGCAAGTAAGAAATATAGGAAAAAAAGAACCAACAGTAGAATCATGCCAAAAGTAATAATCACATAGCGATTGAGCTATATGAAGAACGCTAGAACCGCTATAACGAGGCGAATTGCCCGCGACAGCCGCGTGCGGCGGATCGATTACACAAAACCGTTCCTACTGCTCGTCTCCCCAACAAGCTCCTCTACAGACAGTGCCGCCCACAGTAATTCAGAACTATTCTCCATATCTCTCATATGTTTATTAACAAAACAAAATAATTTGTTTAGCTATTGCGATTGTTCTTTTTCATGCGATTCACTGAACACTCATTTCATAAGGCTTGGCGGTGCTGAATCAGGACCCATTTCGGAAGGAGCCGCACTTTTTGTAGCAGGTTCTTTAGGCATATCTGATCCCATTTCAGATGGACCTGCACTTTTCGGTTCAATTTCTGGCAATTTCCTTGTTCCTGTGCGGATACGAGTCGGTTCAGGCGATGTAGCTGCAGCTGTGACGTCCAATTCGGTGCCCATCGGTGTAACAGGAGTGTAACTCATTGGTCGTGCTGTAGTGACTTGCTCAGTCTCGATGGGCATTGAAGTCATCGATTCAGCCGGTGTTCGAGCTACTCGTAACGATGTTTCCTGAGCTGTGACTTCTTCTGCTTGCAGCGGTTGCGGTTCTGCCGGTTCCACTGCAGGAGGCTCTTCCTTTGGTGGTTGGGCCGGTCGTTTGGGTACTGTCACTCGAGACAGACGTTTGACTGCTGTCGAAGTCTCTTCACACTCCAACTCGGAAGATCCTTGCAACTTCGATCGCGATAGACTCGACTCATCAGCCAGGTCTCTGAAATGGTGGGCATACCAGGCCAGAAAGAAACCTTACAATGACTTTTAGAAAGTTCACCTGAGTGGTGCTTTGGTAACGACCGGTTTTCTTTTGACGTCCTGCTTCGGAATCGGTTCTTCAAACGAGCGCTTCATACCGTTTATGGCTTCATAGGGATATGTTCTGAATTAGAATCTTCCGTCCTAGATGCATCCAAGGAGCTGTAGACATGGGCTGACGAAAAATTCATGTTGGAAACTACCTGGATATGCTCGTACTGGAATCAGTGCTATGGACTGGCGTTTCATACGCGCTCGTTTTGTCCCTAGCCCGAACTTTTTTCTTACAGCCATTCATGAGTAGAACCGACAGCACTGAGTGAACTGTGAAGAGACCGAGAACCAAGCCATGGTCCTGGAAAGCGTTGTTTCATAGCTTGGAGGTTTAGTGAGTTTCAAATGACAAAGTGAAAAAATGAGAACAGAAAGGTACTTATCAGAAAGTTGCACCCATACTAGCATTAATTACTCATGCATGTGATGACTGGTGGGATCATTCTCAAAGTGTGCGTATCGATTTGTTGACCGCGCCGCCTGACAGCGTCATTTCGCCTCACGCTCGCAGTCGCGCGCTATGAAGCTTGACCGTAGGGAGTTCCAGAAAAGAGGGGTCTTGAAAAGAGTCATTAAAGGTCACATTTATGCTTATTCGCATAGCTAAATCGTAGTGAGAGCCCTATGAGCAAGTACCAACACTCCTCTTAAAAATAGCTTTATTCCTTCTCTTTAGTTTAAAGTTTGCTATCTGCAAACGCAGCATACTGTCATACGGATTCCATCGAATGAAAATATCACCTTAAAAACGTCTTAAGTCTCATGAATATATGCCAAATCTTACCATTCAACCTTTAGCAGAACCGTGCTGCGAAACACAATCGAGTTCGAATGTCGTAGTTGTAAAATGAAACACACTGCATGTCTCATCCCATTTTCCATTTGATAAATTATCTGAACTTTGAGTGTGCTCCTTAACCAATAAGAAATGCTATCGATCGGTGAAACGTGATAGTTCAATAGTCAGAGCATACTTTATGAACCATTGAACGAAAAATCACTGGTTAACTCTTAGGCTTGGTAGAAATGATGGGGGTCCGGAAAGGTGGGATGAGTTTCCCTATCCGAATGGCGTACCGCTCTAGCCACATCTAATCGCTCGCAATCGCGCGCTATAAGGGGAGTATTTGAATTTCTAGTTGAGATTACGGTAGGTAACTGCGGCGAAACCATTGCCGCTTCTCATTTTTCTGGGTGGGAACTAAAACGGATGGACTTTTTTATTGGTTTCTTTTTTTCTAATTTTACTCGTTTCTTAGGATACATCCTGATTTTTTCTCACTTTTTTTTCTATTTGAGCATAAGGATTTGTATAAAATAATAAGATTTTCTATGGTTCTTC